GAACCCGCAACAGAGGCCCCGGGGCAGAGCCGTCTTCCAAGCCCTCCTCCCTTAAAGAAAAGGAAGAGTCCATGGGAAAGGCAGCAAGAAAGGGCCGCTGGTAATACCCAGAAGCCTTGGCAGGAGGAACAGGGTCGAAAACCTCCATCCCCAACCCGAATGGGGCAGCCCCCGAAATCGCCCGAGTCTCGGCCCCAACTAAACCCCGTCCCAACCCCGAAACCCACAAATGGTCCGGAGCCGGGAACAGGGAGGGAAAGGAGCAAACAGCACCTAACCAAAACGGGGCGGCCCCAGGGCATCCGAGTGGAAAACCAATCTAGCGTGTTGCAGCAACCTAACCTAGCTTGCAACACGGATGCCACCAGTACTCTGAACAGTAATAACATCAGGAGAGTACTGGAGAACAAGCAGAGAATCTCTCTCGCAAGATTCCGGGTCAAGGTGTCAGTGACCCAACAGGCAACATGACGGAGTTAAAGTGATGGAGGTAAAAGTGACGGCTGTCACCCAGAGACAAGGGCACAGCAACTAACGATCCCGTACAAGACGGGTTGGAACTCGGAAGACACATTCAATGGTCCACCGAGCCCAGACAGGGGTTTCCATGGCCCGTATGGGTAACAACTATGGGAAGCCCGGGCAAGGTGTTGCTAACCGGTTAAGAAACCCAAAATTGCATGGGGTAGAGGACAACACTGAAAACCCCTGCGACGTGTACAATCATGGGGGGCCTAGCAGAGGGCCACCAAACACTACCAGTGGAACTATAGCCACACTAAGCAGACCCCCACCAGGCAAATGAAAATAAAAACAAGAAAACCCCCGCAAAAGTACACCGTCTCCAGAGGCAACAGGTACCGGTCGCCGCTGAGGTGGCAAATCGCGCAACACCTTGACGCCCTAACCAGCACAATACCAGTCCCTACCCAGGGCCAAACAAGGGGCAAACACCGCCTAGGAAACTGAGGCCAGAGAAGCGTCTATCCCAGTTGACATTAGCTTACGAACTGATGCTAGGAAGCCGGTGCGGTGAGGTCCGGGGCTCTCCCCTCCCTTTCTCGTGGCGGGGAGGGCTGTGCGGACAATCGAAGCGGCAGTAAAGAGTGATGTTCGCTTGTTTGCTCGTTTCCTTGGGATTGTAGGGAGTTTCTACCCCTCTGTCCGGTTTTTTGTTTTATTTTTTTTTACCTTGTGGGGTTTGTTTTCTTATGCCTACTTTTCTGGGTACCTAACCCTGGTCGATGTCAGATAAGGAAAACCCCAACCACAAGGGGGTTTTCCAGGGCCATTGCTCCCTGAAACCTCTCTGAAGGGGCCAGGTTCTGGCGCTGGTCCCAGGTAGGTCTGAACTCCTTAGCTAATGTCCTGGTCTAATATAAAATACATTAGCGTGATAAGCTCCAGGGAGCCGTAGGGGCTCCCCACAGAAAGACACTCATTAAGGTGAACAAAATTGCCCCCAGGTAAACCTGGACCACAGTCAATGTTTCGCACCACTTAAGCATGCTGGTACAGCAGACGGTGTCCCAAGCATCCAATGAGAGCAAAGGGCAGTCCGCAAGCTAGGACGACTCTGGAACCTCATAACGAACCCAGTATGGAGATGAAGACCCATACCTGAAGGAAGATGGATCCTTCATAGAAGCATACTCCAGATCACGCAAGAGGTAAGCCGCGATGGCTGCTCGCACCTCAGCAGGCGAGACATAGGAAGCCGAAAACCTCCGGAAGGACAGAATCAAAGGACCCGCAGAGACACGGAACAGAACCCGGGGAGGAGTCGAATCCAAATCCAACTCGTACGCAGAGGGGGGAAAGGAAACCTCCACTCCTTGTAACAATAAGCCAAGCTCAGAGGGTCACAAAACCCAGGCCGGGTTCATCGGGGCCCAAGGCCCCCAAGTCAGCTCTTCCCTAACCCTGGGAACCTCTATGTCAAGTTGGAAATGGGGGCGAGTTGTCCTACAAAGTCCCGGCCTCACAAGAAAAAGCCGGAGCGGCCAAAATAGCAGGAAGAGGATGGGCCCACTGGTCAGACCCCGGAGCTACGGCTGAAGGAACAGACTCAAATGCCTCCGCCACCACCCCGGAAGGGGCAACCCCTGAAACTGCCAGAGTCTCAGAAACCTCTAAACCCTGCCCTGACCCAGAAGCCTTCAGACACTTAGGAGTCAGAAGCAGGAGGAGGAGGGGAACCGAACCGAACCACAACAGGGGGAAGAACGAAGGGGTGCAGACTGAACCAAGGCTGATGCGACCAACAACCCCAGGTCCGGGTCCCTAAAAGCGAAACGGGGCAGCCTCTGGGCATCCAGGAACCAACCAACCTAGCACGTTGCAACAACCTAAACCTATTCTGCAATACGCGAGCCGCCTGCACCCGAATAATGTCATCATCAGATTGGGTGAACCAAGTCACAGACAAGCAACAAAGCTAGCAGGACTCTGGGTCAAAGGTGTCACCGACCCAACAAGCAGCATGACAAGAGGCAAAAAACAATGAGCGTTGCCCTGAGACAAGGGAACAGAGCAACCCTCAAACTTGCACAAAGCGAGAGGGGACTCAGGGGGTTGCATCCATCAGACCCAAGTGCCCCCGGCGGGGTTTCCCAGAGCCCCTAGACTGGGTCTGCTAAGGGTTATTCCAGGCAGGGTACTGCTAACTGGTGCCCAAGCTACCAAACAACACTGTTAAAGCTGAACCCCCGGGACATGTCCACTCATGAGGGCGGAGCAGGGGGGTACCACAAAACAAGAAGCAAACCCTAATCAGGTGGCAGTCTCCGTGGTGTAGTGGTAAGACACTCGCCTGGCGTTCCGCGAGCGCTATGTCATGGGTTCGTATCCTGGCCGGGGAGGATTTACTGGGCGCAATTCCTTAACTGTAGCCTCTGTTTAACGCAACAGTAAAATGTGTACTTGGATGAAAAAACGATTCTTCGCGGCGGGGATCGTATTCCAGGGACCATAGGATTAAGGACTTGCCCGAAACGCTACGCGTACTAGTGGCTGTACAAGAATGTAACAACTCTTGTATATATCTCAAAAAAAAAAAAAAAAAAAAAAAAAAAAAAAAAAAAAAATAATAATATAACAGGGGGTAATAGACATCATGGCAGGACCCCCACCTCCCCACCCCTACCAGGCAAAATACGAAAATGAAAGAAAAACCTCACAGGAGAACAACGTATCCAGAAGGAATAGAGCCAGCCGCTATTATAGGTGAAAACCAGCTGCTACCCCGCACCCATACCAGTTCAAAAACTACCACTTACCCCAAGATAAACAAGGGTGAAAGCCCCCCAAAACACTCGGGGCTGTCAATTACCAAGCAGCAAAAGACCAACAGAGGTAGATACCTGGTTACCTGGTTGATGGGGTTCTGGGAGTTCTTCTACTCCCCAAGCCCGGCCCGAGTCCAGGCTCTACTTGTGAGAGTTTGGTCCACCAGGCTGTTGCTTGGAGCGGCCCGCAGGCCCACATACCCACCACAGCCCGGTTGACTTGTGGAAGAGGTACCACCCTAGGGGCTTGGGGTTCTCTTTAGGGCTTACAGTGCTTATAGGGCACTTAGGGAAGGGAACCCTAAGCGCATGCAGCTCGAGAATCTAGGAATGTTACTCCCAGCTTGCATGCCACCGTAAGAGCAGTACTGAACCAAGGCACAGCACAACAAAAATCTGGAGATGGAGCCACTCAACCGTTGTGCCACACACCAGCCGAAGAACTGAGGTATGGATCACCAGCGCGGGGGTCTGGGGTTCCTCCTTCCCCCTCCCGGGGAGGGGGAAGTGGCGCAGACATGCAGCGCGCGTGATATGCTTGTTTGCCCGTTCTCATTTGCGGAGTTCTGTCTACTCGTTTGTTTCATTTGGGGAGTTCTGTCCACTTGTCGTTTTTAACCAGAATAGGGGTTTGTTTTGGGGCGCTTATCTTTCTGGGTGCCTGTCCCGGTTGATGGCAGTCATAGAATGCTCCAAAATCACAAGTGCATTTCTATAGACCATTGCTTCTCATTCCTCTCTGAGGGGGGCCAGGTTCTGGCTCGTGGACCCCGGTAGGTCTTGAATTCCACCCATATCGACTGGTACCAAAGTTAGGGATACTCGTATCAGCCTGGATAGCTCCGGGGAGCCGTAGGGGCTCACCCCAGAAAAGAGGCGTTGACAGAGCAAGCACCAAATGCAGTCTGCTCTGCCAGAGCTGTCAGGCGGGAGTTACCACATAAATATTATTACCTAATTATTTCAATGTCTCTGACTTATTTTGCAGTAATATTATTCAATAGTGTGTAGTGTCATATATTTCAACCTGTCCACTTAAGAAGAACGTCGCTTTTGACCGTTTGCCAGTATGGCCGAATATGGACGTAATTTGAAAATGAAAAAAAATTATTATAAATTTTGGATTTTTTTTTTCAACAATAGTAAGTTAAGGGTCCTCTGATAGGTTAGGTGGGCAGGAAATTCTCATAAAGTTTCAAAACGGTATGAAAAACGTTAATGAAAAGAATCCTTTTCTAAGCTGGCCGAGTAAGCCGGACGACTCAAACAGAAAACGGAACAGTACATCACTTTTGTGAGTCGATTTTATTTCAAATTATGTCCAAATTTGGCCATAGCGTGCATACGAGCCAAAAGTGACGTTATTTTTAAGAGGATGGGTTGTACAGGTATATTTATATAATAAAATGTGTGAATCATCGCTATACTCAAAAGTATTGTGATTATATTAGTGATTCAATTATTATGTTCATAAAACAAACAAATAGTTTTACTGTTATTACACTATATACACAGGTTATATATACATTTCTGCATGTTTTGTTCACCATAGCGAACCACTAAGCTGCTTTGGTGAGTGCAGACAGTTACAGGTGGCCACACAGCTGATGCCGACTCCCTCTCTGGTTCAAGGCCAGACGCACTAACATTCCTCCAAGTATACTGTTTGTGATGTTATTACACAATGCAATGAAATAAAAGATATGTACTTACAGAGTATGACATAACAATATTTACTGTTCCTTCCTGACCATCTCCAAGCTTGCCAGTCAAGCTATACCATTCATCCACAGTTTCACCCTGAAAATATGAAGTACAATGTAATATTATGAGATATTTATGAAGTGTGATATCTGTTGGCTTTAGAATATTGTGGAAATAGTAGAGATAAAATTGTTACTTTTATTACAAAGTCCTTACTGAAAGAATAGTACAGCATGACCACCTCAAACTGATAATATATAATATTAAATTACATTTTTTCTAGTAATGACAATACAGTGGTACCACAGTTTTCGTATTTAATCCGTTCCCAAAGACATTATGAAAACTGAAACACATTTTCCCATAAGAAATAATGTAAAATGAATTAATTCTTTCCACACCCCCCCAAATATACTAACTAAAAAACCAGTGTTAAATGTAATGAAATGCCATTTTCTGGGTGTGACCAGGAGGCTCCCCAGAGCTATCCAGGCTGATATGCTATATATTAGACTTTGGCATCAGTGTGAACGGAGTTCATAGGCCTACCAGGGACCACGAGCCAGAACCTGGCCCTCTCAGAGAGGCACAAGGAGTAATAGCCAATAGAACAGCACATGTGATTTGGAGCATTCTATGTCTGCCATCGACCGGGTCAGGCACCCAGAAAGGTAAGCATCCCAAAACAAACCCCCTATTCTGGTTGAAACTGCTACTGAAAGTCTAACAAGTGGACAAAACTCCCCTAATAAAAACAAGCAAATGAGCATGACGTCACCAACTGCCACACTGCCGTCTGCGCAGCAAAGGTGAGCCCCAGACCCCTCGCACCGGCAACCCACACCTTCTGTTCTGTGGCTGGATGTCAAATCAAGGAAAAACCCAGCGTTAAACGTAATGAAACGCCATTTTCTGGGTGAGTCCCGGAGGCTCCCCGGAGCATTCCCAGGCTGATATGCTAATGTCAGACTTTGGCATCAGTCATGTGTATGGAGTTCTTAGGACTACCGAGGACCACGGCCAGAAACGGGCCCCCTCAGAGAGGCAAGGGGAGCAATGGCCTATAGAAACCCCCGTGTGGTTGGAAGCATTCTATGTCTGCCATCGACCGGAACAGGCACCCAGAAAGGTAAGCGCCTCAAAACAAACCCCTATTCTGGTTAAAATTGCTACCAAAAGCCGAAGTAGTGAATAGAACTCCTCAACAGAAAAACAAGCAAACTAGTGTGATGTCACACGTTGCCGCACCACTGTCTGCGCAGCTCCCCCCTCCCCGGGAGGGGGAAGGGGGAGCCCCAGACCCTCCATGCCGGCTACCCACACCTCAGTTCTTGAGGCTGGATGTCAAAAACACAAAAAAAAACGCCGACCGGAGGAAGGGAGGGATGCCGGGGAGCCTCCGGGACTCACTTAGAAAATGGCGTTTCATTACATTCAATGCTGGTTTTCTGGGGGAAGCCCCGTCAGCTCCCCGGAGCTAACTACCCACAGACGGAAAAAGAGGGACTTACCCGAGAGGCGGTCGTCGCTCACTCCTCAACTCGAAGCCGAGACAACTGGCTGCAACCGCCGACCCAAAGCAACACAGGCCCGACGAGGCCCAGGGACATTCACAAGGTAACGAGCAGCCAGGACCCTGTTCAACTGCCAAAATCCCCACGCCCGAGTATCAGACCAAGACATATTCCCAAAGACGGCAGCAAGAGCCGTGAACTTATGAATGTCATGGGCACGGGGATAGACCACAGGCTGGCTAGACTTAATAACCCTGCGGACGACCTGGGAGACCCGAACCCGCAAACAGGGAAGAAGGGAAACCGGATCAACCCTAAGCGTGTCCCTGGACACAGAAGAAGTGGCGCACAAATAATGGCGAAGCGCCGCAACCGGACACAAAACATGATGCACCCCCGGCCTGACCAACCAAGCATCAACCACCCACGGACCCCTCCGGAACACAGCAGTCTCATTCTTCGCCAGAAAAGAAGGAGACTGCTGCAAGCGAACAAAACAATCTTCATGACCAAAAAAGCAGAAACCCCCCGCCAGAGGAGAGCATGAAGCTCCCCCACCCGACCCCCAGAGGCCAATGCCAACAAGAAAAGAGCCTTGGAAAAACAATCCCGGACCGAAGGGGCCACAACGAAACGAGGAGACGAAAGGAAAGCGAGCACTCGGTCCAAAGACCAGGACGGCTCAGGCGGCGCATGAGCAGGCCGGAGGTGAAACAATGCACGAGACAGCTTGCGAAACGGAACAGACGTAACATCGATACCGAAGGCAAGCTGAAGCGACTCCTGCCAGCGCCGCACGATATGAGGCGACAGTGTCGCCTCATATCGTCGCCTCATATCGCCTCATATCGTGAGGATGAGAGCAGATGAGCATGAGGATGAGCACTGTCGCCTCATATTGTGAGGCGACAGTGTCGCCTCACGATATGAGGCGACATAATAGGCATAACACTGTTATGCCTATTATGCCAGTTATGGTTGTTTCAGTATGACAGTCCTGAAACAACCAAGAGAGGAAGAACAAGACCACCCAAACAGACAAGGAACTAACATGACGAAGACGCAAAAGACAACAGAAGGACCGCCAGGAAACTTCATACTGCCGCCGAGAAGAAACCCTCAGGTGGGACACCAACAAGGAGGCCACCTGATCACCACAGAGATGATGATAAACTCGAGTCAAAAAACCCATATGCGAAGACTCGAGGAGAAGATCGAACCAGCCATGTGACGTACCGGCCCGATCTGCTGAAAGAGGCAGAGCCGAGGGAAAACCCTCGGGTTCGGACACCAAGCAAGCAGCACCTGAAACCAAGGCTCGGCCGGCCACCAAGGGGCCAGAAGGCCAACTCTCCCATGGTGAGTCTTTAAGCGAGTCAGGACCTGGAACAACAGCCGAACTGGGGGAAAGAGGTGCAGGAACCCCCACCTCGACCAGTCTAGGCAAAAGGCATCGACCCCGACAGCCTCGCGATCGGGGAAGGGCGCCGCATACACGGGAAGGCGCCTCGACCATGCCTACGTGAAGAGGTCCACCTCGGGTCCACGTGTGGCAAAGCCATCGAAAGGAAGCGTCGTCGACCGTCCACTCTGTGGAGAGGGGAATGAAACGAGACAGGCCGTCAGCCAAGACATTGGACACTCCCTGCACGTGAACTGCCAGGAGAGCCAAACCCCGAGAACTCAGCAGACAAGTCACCCGAAGCAACCAACCCCAAAAAAAACAAGGACCGCATCGAACCCCCGCAGTTCAGGAAATGAACCACCAGAGAGCAGTCCGAATGGAGCCGAATCGTTGATCCGCGGGCGACCCGAATCCCCAAAGAGCAAACCACACCTCCGCGAACTCCCTCACCATGCTGTGAGCTCGACGGAAGGACAGACCCCAACGCCACTGGACAGAACTCGTCCAATGAGGTGGTTGAGGTACTTGGAATCAAGGTAGAAAATATGAATCTACTTATTATTTTAATATACAAACCGCCAGATGCAACAGTTGAGGAATTCACTGAACAGATCCACAAAATAGAGAATATCCTTGATAACCTAGCAAGCCCAGTACCAGATATCTTCCTTGGAGACTTCAATCTACTCAGTTTAAAATGGAGAATAGTAAACAATAACATTATAGCAGGAAATCAACCTGGAAATAACCAACCACAGGTCAGAGAACTACCAAGATTCTGTGACAAATTCTCGCTCAGTCAGCAGATTACAGAAACAACTAGGAACGAAAACACTCTGGACCTCATATTCACGAACAATGAGGAGCTAATGAGAGACATTACTGTCTCAGACACTACGTACTCGGACCACAAGCTCATTGAAGTGCTAACTAACATTAATAACGGTAGTAGACCCAAGAGAAACAACAAGCGAGAAGGGTTATTCAATAAATTGAATTTTAATAATAAGGGGATAGACTGGGAGAAAATAAACAGGGAATTTACAAACATTCAATGGGAAAATGTTCTAAGAAATAAAAATCCTACACAAAGAATAGAAAAACTGACTTCTGAAGCATATGAAGTCTGTCTGAAACATGTTCCTTTCTGGAAAGCCAGAAAGAGGTCCAATGTAGAAAGAGAACGCAGACGACATTACAAAAGAAGGAAGAAATTAACGGAAATGCTTAAGCAGACACGATTCTCCATACAGAGAAGAAATAATTTAAACAGGGAGATTGAAGAAATCGAACAGAGACTGAAGCATTCCTATCAGACTGAAGAAAGGCAACTAGAACAGAAAGCAATTCAAGAAATAAAGAAAAACCCAAAATATTTCTTCACATATGCCAAATCAAAAGCGAAAACCACTGCCAGTATTGAACCTATTCGTATTAGTGAAGGTTCATACACTGAGGATGACAAAGAAATTAGTGAAATCCTAAAAAAGCAGTATGAGGACATGTTTAGCACTCCGATACTCAGCATGAAAGTGGAAGATTCGGACAATTTCTTTATGAATGATACTCAAACACCTGTAAATATAACTGATATCAACACGAGCGTGGCAGATTTTGTAAGAGAAATTGACTATATGCCCATGCACTCAGCCCCGGGATCAGACTCAAGGAATTCAATATTTATAAGGAAATGCAAAGTGCCAGTAGCACAGGCATACAGTATAGTGTAGAGGAAGAGCTTGGACACAGGGGAGATACCAGATACGCTTAAAGCAGCAAACATTGCCCCTCTATACAAGGGTGGTAGCAAAGCATTGGCAAAGAATTATAGGCCAGTTGCACTAACGTCCCACATAATAAAAGTATTTGAGAGAGTGATCAGGAGTCAGGTCATTAGATTCATGGAGACCAAAGACCTCCACAATCCAGGCCAACATGGATTTAGAGCAGGAAGATCATGCCTCTCACAGCTACTTGACCACTATGACAAAATCACTGAGGCATTAGAGGAAAAACATAATGCAGATGTCGTATACACAGATTTTGCAAAGGCATTCGACAAATGTGACCATGGAGTGATTGCACATAAAATGAGGTCAATGGGTATAACTGGTAAAGTAGGACGCTGGATACTCAATTTCCTGTCGAACAGAACACAAAGAGTAACAGTCAATCAA